AAACAAGGGAGGGCAGCGGAGCAGGATAAGGACATACAAAGAGAGAAACTAGAGGTTTTTATGCATGTATTTATGATCCCGCAGTCAGTGCTTGGAGCTACGCAGTGTCTCCTCTTTAACTGAGCCACATGCTGGCACTGTGTGATTAATGCGGCTGCCTTTAGTGAGAGACAGTGCATGTAATCAAGCCCCAGCCTGTAATCGCCTTCCATTGCTTTTCATTTGCAGCTTTTCAAAAAGGGACAGAGCTGCTGCCAGAGCTGCATGCTTCAGTATTTGGAAGGAGGAGGAGGAGGAGGAGGGAGGATATGAAGGGTGCTGTGCCATAAGCATCCCCCTGAGGTTTCCCCCTCCAATGCCAGGAACGATACGTCTCTGGCAGGTGCCTCAGGGCCAAACTGTCAGCTTCAACAAATTGTGGGTCACCGTGTCTGACAAAAGCCCCTCCTATCCTCCTCCCCAGCTAGGTGGGTTCCTCTATAGACAGCTATGTTCTCACACATGCAGGGCCATACCAAGACATACGTGTGATAGGGGGGGACAAGTGCCCTTTTATGCCTCATTAGCTCACGGTGTGGACTTTCACATGAGGGAATTAGACGGGACACGAGCCAAGATGTGCTCCATATCTCCAAGCTGCTTAATCGGACAGAGTGCACATATTTCTAGAGCTGCTGCTGGATCTCACAGGGCCGCTTGTCTTCGACTTTCACACACACACGTTTGCTAAATAAATATGTAATCTGACCGGTGCACAAGATTTATATTCTCTGGATTTTTATGAAAGTAGCAAGCTTTAACCACCAGTTTAAAACATCCTAATCCCTCAACAATTTCCATTTTTGTTGTCAAACTCTGCTATGTCAAACAGGATATGAGAGAAAACAACACACATTTATAACAAGAGACTTACAACAGTATACTGAAGAGATTGCCTAAATGAATTGAAAGCATGCTTACATTCTTAATTTTTTTTGTAATATGTCAAAAGATCCTTTATGAGTATCTAAAGAAAGATTTAACAGAGCTTTATATTGTAGTCATGTAAGTTTCTATACCAATAACTTTGATTATTCAGCTTCTACAAGTTGTAACATTAGTGTTTCCCATGTGTAAAAAATTATAATAAATCAGATTAAAGTCTAGATTTCAAACATGTCATGGGTAAAGATGACTAAATGTTTATGCTGGAACAAATACCCTGCTCTCTGTTATAGTCTCCACTCCATTAGTTCCACAGCAGGGAAGTTTCTATCATGTTGGGCACAAACAACCCCTGAGGGCAGGCCATAACACATCTGGGCTGACTGTACTCGATTCAATATGGTTGATCCAAAGAGGGTGACAACACACAGCCTGCATTCCCCTGCTCTTTGTTATTTAAATCAGAGGAGAAAACACACAATCACAGGGGGACTCTGGGGATCTCAGCAAAAGGCAGCGTAAACACAGACAGAAAAACCTACACACGGATACACGCACGCACACACACACACACACAGAAAAACCTACACACGGATACACGCACGCACACACACACACAGAAAAAGCTACACACGGATACACGCACGCACACACACACACACAAAAACCTACACGCACGCACACACACACACACACACACACACACACACACACACACACACACACACACACACACACACACACACACACACACACACACACACACACACACACACACACACACACACACACACCACACACACACACACACACACACACACACACACACACACACACACACACACACACACACACACACACACACACACACACCACACACACACACACACACACACACACACACACACACACACACACACACACACACACACACACACACACACACACACACACACACACACACACACACACACACACACACACACACACACACACACACACACACACACACACACACACACACACACACACACACACACACACACACACACACACACACCTCAAGGGATCCACCCTGGTCCGGTCAGGCTAAAGACACAATGGGCAGAGGGGGCAGGACAGGAAAAAGGGAGGTGGGTGGGACATGAATAAATCATGCCTTTAGGCCACACAGGGCACAGCATAAACACACACAAAAAAACAACCAGCCACACCCACCTGATGGCAGAAAATGCATTTAACGTATACAAATGCATGAATACATGTGCAGTATGCAGTGCATATGTCACACACACCACTCAGCATCTAAGTTGTGCTCTTTCCCTTTCATTTCACACAGAGAAAAAGTGGGACTCCAGCCTGGGAATGGGACAGGAAAATGAGCGGGGCAGAAAGTTAATGTCGTCTCCACAGCTATTACTGCGGCGCTACACATACAAAAAAACACATTCATGAATGTCTGAGTCAGGCAGACAGGGAAAGCTAATGCTAACTGAAGTCATGTTGCCTCACGCTGTAATCAGGCGCATCATGGCTCCTGTAATTACCTCTAAACATTCATTTGGCTAATAACTTTAGCTCTCAGTGATACAGACGGGGAGCAGTGTGAAAATCTGTGCAATCCCTCAGCCATTAGGACGACAGCCTAGGTGCGAATTGGCTACGACATGATAGAGTTGTTATTGTCACGCGTTTCACAAGATTATCCCGATACTCATCCAAATAGGCTTAAAATGACACTAAAACATACGTTAATAATATGTGTGTTTACATATATTGTAATATAACGATAACTCACATTTAGTTTAGGAAAAGGTTTTTTTGGTAACATGGTATTCATGAATAGTAAAAGTCCCCTGTATAAATTGAAGACAACTAAAATAAAACAATAAAACATCAATATTGTCCTGTCTGTATCTATATTGAACACATAGTTCTTCTATAACTATATGTTATAGGTCAAGTATTTGGTTTCAAACCAGGCTCTATTCTTTCAAGCTACTCTTGTGAGGATAATCACAATTATCTCAATGATGGAAATCAACTTGTTGGGGTTGTCTTTATCCATATAGTCCTCTCCAGTATCCATCCATGTTTTGATAAAGTATTTCATAAAGTATTTCATAAAGTAATGTGCTACATTTGATCTCAAAAGACTGCATTCTTGTTAAAAACTACCATACAATCTAATCTGTTTAATGTCCAATCTATTATCCAATCCAGGTGGCATTTCACTCTTGTAAGGAGCCAATACTTTATCAATGTGTGATTTAAAAACACTTTCTTTTACAGGTACATTAGTTTCCCTGATAAAAAGGGACTGAATCGACTCACAAAGCTTATAAATGTTTATGGTTCACTACAAACTCAGCCCCACAGCTTAGTGTGTGAGCTGTGAAGCTGTGGATTGGATTTCCAGCTTTTCTTCTAATTTAATGCAACACATATTCCTGTTTAGGCTTCGTGCCTTTGCACTTTGGATCAACAGAGCCAGATAAACAAAGCAGCAGCTGACCATCTGACCTCCGACCTCCAACACTTGACCTGGAGTAGAGCACTGCTTCTCACCAGGCAGACAGTCGTGACAGTTTGTGCAGGAGCCAGTTTGGAGACTTAACAGAAACGACCTGAATCATTATGAAAGTACCTCCAATCATATAATAACAGTTATGATGGACAGGATGTAAAAAAAAATCTGTCCTCACTCCCTCGAGAGAAGGGTTAGGGTTGTGCATTCATAAGAATCTGGCAGTATGAGACTATGACGGTTACAAATCAATATAGTGTAACATATTTCGATACTGTAAGGAAGGCTATACATTGCATATTGTATACACACTACCATATGCATATAATCGGAGTACAATCTGAACAATGGGATCTGCATTGGCCTTTATCACAGTGTCTGCAATATCCAATACCATAGCAATACTTGTTCTGCAATCTGAGTATTTGCATGTAAACTATTAATTAATAATGGTGTTTTTGAGAATCAATACAGTATCAGAAAACACAATATAACTATACTCAAGTCTATCCATTTTTTCTCACAACCCTAAAAAGATGAACGATTTCCGTGCAACACAAAACTTTGAAATGTAGCAGCAACACTCGCTCCTTTACCACACCTTCACCTACAGGTTTAATCCACTCTGTTAACCACACAACCCCCTTGCAAAGCTCACCAGCTCTCAGTTGCATGACAGGAAGGGGGTTGCAACTCTTTTCAACTAGCCCATGCAATTAAAATTGACTGAGAGAGTCAAGTATTCCCCAAGGACACAGCTGCTTCTGACTATAGTCAAAACACCCATAGTGCAGGCTACACACTGTAGATTATGATTTAGTTTCAAGGACAGAAGTGATTTATGAGTGTTCAACATAATTTACAGGGAAAACACACTCCCACATGTAAAGTGTATTTTACTAAATGAGAAAAAGGTACATAAAGGTAATCCCTGTCATGGTCTTATGGTAAACGTCTCCACTGACTGCAGAGATTAGACTCTCTCAGTGTGCACACTTCTCCCTCCCTCCAATCATTTTCCCAGCGACGCTCACTGACCTAACAAAGCCTCTCACAGTCAGCAGGCTGACCCAGTAACCTGCATGCCTCCTATCTGCTGGAGACGAGCGGCTATAAGCTCCCACTGCTGCAGTATGCTGGGACGTGTGAGTCAACAGCACTCTTGTGACGAACAAAGCTTCTTTGAGTTTGTAGAACTTTTAGGAATTATGAGTTTAAAAATAAGATTTACTACATTGCACATACAAGGGACAAGAGTTTATAATTAGAAGCAGCTATAAACTCTCAGTTTCAGGCTCTGAATTGGAACTGTGTTAAATCGTACAGCCCTGTAATAACAAATAATTTCACATTTGATGTCACGGTGACATGTTGCCTTCCTAACAAAACCATACATGAACAACTGGGCCTTTGTGTATGCAGATGAATATCACTTGTAATAAAAAGTGCAATTTTATCTGCATGTCTTTATGGCTAGATTGGATTTTACAACATGACACTTACTCTGCACAATGAGCTAAACTTGTAAAAAAAACAGTCATAAACTTACCCCTTGGTTTCCTTTGAAGCAAATTGATGGTTCACTTGGTAAAGATCCCTGTTGTGAGAGAAAACAGACGCATGTATGGTGACATTGTTGCACACATTCAGCTCAGTGATCTAAATGAGGCCAGTAAACACAATTATGCTGTTATTTGTTTACATAAAAAGTTAAAGTTACACATTCAACGATGCCTGTGTGCTGTTAACGGTCTCCACTGGAACTAATTATGAGCCTAGCATTCGCTACTTGTCAATTAGATAAGTTGGTAGACTGCAGGCTTTACTTTGAAGCACAGGAAGGTTTCCCAGCAAACAGCTGACGGGCTCCTCGTTCCCGACAACGTTACTCACCGATGTAGCCAATTAATTCAGAGGTAAACTAGTTTTGAGTGACACTCATTATCTTAATTACTAAAAGAAAACATGTTATTTTAAACGATATAAAAGTAATTTAACTATATGCGCAAGTGAACACATTTTAAAGGCACAAAAACTGAGGCGACAACTTTATACAGAGTGCATCTCCAAACGCACACAGACACCCATACACAGACAGACACAATGAAAAGCTACCTTGAGGTTTTGGAAAGCCTCCAGCGCCCTGAGAGCCGTGTCCGTGAGCTTGACATGGTAAAGCGTCCTGTTTGGGCTGTTTTTGTTATTTTTTCCACAGGAGAGCCCGTAGTGGTGCTCCTGCCTGAGCGAAGCCATCGCTGGCTTTTCTCTCCGCAATTAAAGCTGCTTTCCTCTCCGCTCAACTCTCCCCTGACGTCACGCGGGGGGCGGGGCCTCTACATGAGATGTATTCATGCTCAGAGGTGGAAGACGTATTCAGATACTTAAAGTACCAATACATGATTTTCAACATACGTCATTGCAAGTAAACGTCCTGCATTCAAAATCAAAAAAGTAATCATTGTGCAGAAAAAGAATGCCTTTATGTGTGTATATAATTATATTCATAGATGTCTAGATAATATTGTTGCATAAGGTAGCATTTTACTTTTGTAGTCAAAGTTCTGATTTACTTTTTGTTAGAATATTTGAATAATTTGACTCCTTTGTGACTTAAAGAGTTAGTCCAATAGTTACATTTTTAGGGATGCATTTTGTTATAAGTAGCTAATGCTTTTTAGTAAATGTAGTGTAGTACAATGACATTATTTCCCTTTTAAATGTAGTGGAGTCAAAGTGTATTGTAGCATTAAATGGAAATACTCAAGTTAAGTACAAGTACCTACTTGAGTAAATCTACCTAGTTAATTTCCACCTCTGTTCCTATAGTACAAAGCCTCATCTAGAGAATTCATTCATTCAAAGAAGAAAAACATTACCTCCGGACAATATATTGTTCTTGTTCTTTATGTAAATCCTGCACAACCATTTGAACATGTTGCACATTTCTGCTCCACACTACCTCTTTTTAAATCTGCACAGCTCTCCACTTTGAATATAATATTTGTCATATTTTATTTTACTGTACTCAGTCTCTTACATATTCATATTGTGTGTAAATGTATTGTCGTTTTACAATAGTCTTTAAAATAGCTTTATAGATGTCAAATGTTTTTGCTCCTCTCCTTCAAAAAAATATGTATTCTTCTTTCTGTGTCTTTGTATGCACCATTTACACCAAACCAAATTCCTTGTATGTGTAACCCTATTGCATCAAACCGATTCGGAGTCTTTGTTTCTACAATAAATCATCTGTAGGAGTATTGTGTATAGTATTTATATTTGACTTTTTGCATGCCAAACAGACTTTTCCTTGTAAGTAAGAACCTGTCTGACATGGACAATTTCCTGTTGTGAGCTACATGTCGTGTTTAGATGTAGTGGAGGTTTAAGCTGCTAAATAGCAAGGTCTGTTTTCACGCATTTTAACAGAGGCCTGCCGTTTATTCTAATCTTCTTGCAATAAATGCAATAATCTGATTATGATGCATGTCAACACAGGACAAATGTGTCACCACATTGTGCAGGCTCTGTTCTTCTAGGTCAGGAAACACGTAACAATCCGATCAACATTTCTTAATAAATAGGAGTTTATGTTCAATATGCCAACCATAACAAATGTAGCAGCTTGTTGGTTTAATGACATGCCAACAAACGGATTAGGATTTGTTAATGAAACAAAATTAGGCTAATTTTGCTTTGCCAGCCTTAAAATATGACCTGTTTCGATGTTATCTAAGTCAAAGCACAACAAAGGTAAGACTGTGTCAGTGTAAATGTTTCTTTCTAGCAGCACTATGGGAGTTAAAAGTTAAAAATGAAATGATAAAAATGCAGGTTGGACCGCTTAATGGGCTGACCATTAAAAAAGCATTTTAATACACTGAATCCACAATACGTGAATGTTTTTACTATGTTCAAGTTATGGTAGCAACAGTATAGCTAACTGTATCTGCTGTACCCAGGAATCCAGCCCATATGTAAGTTATAGTAGTAATATAATTTAGCCAGACATTACAGAGTGGACTCAAATCAAATGAAAGTTGTGATGCCATATGACCAAACGTAAAATTGTAAGCTTGTATTTGGCAACATATTTTCTCTAAATAGGGAAGACAGATGTCAGCAAACCTTTATTGGATGTCTGGGATCTTTCTTGTTAAGGGTGTCGAGTTATCATTTTGAGCTCTCAGGCAGTGCTTTACAACAGTGTGCGTCAGTCACTCAGTAAAGGGCATCTGCGGCCATAGGCCACCCTGCTTGTAAACCTCATAAAATGTTCGCTTCCAGCGTAAGGAAAGACATTGTTAAAATCCAGTATTACTGGGGTTAGAAGTCTCATTGAGTTACGACAGTGATCACTAAATGTGAAAGGTCAAAGTTCAGGCAAGTATTGCACAAATTATTGATGGTAAATGTCCTAGCATCCGGGTTTCACATGACATTTATAGTCAAAAAGCAATGAATAGAACAACTGAATATATTATGGGGCTGCTATGTTCAAAGCTCAATCATTTTACATATTTAAATATACCTAAGCAATTGTTTAACTATCTATTGTTTTAAGTTGATCAAATCCTTAACTGTCTGGTGAAGTACGCAAGGAGCTAAAATAATAATATTCTACGAGGCTAAGGATGCTTATCCTGATGAGTTAATGGGCTTAGTTGTCGTCTTTTTTGACAGTCTCTCCAGCTTTCAATCCTCTTGTTGATTTAGGCTACACAGGAGAGCTGTTATCTGTTAAGAAAATCCACCTGCCGATTTATGTGTCTCAGCAAACATGACCAAGCTGAATGACGGCAATTCTAAGCAACTTAAGTGTTTGCATAACTGTGAGCAAGCACACAAGTGTAATGGAGGTTAGCAAAGCAGATGACTCTGACTTGTAAGCCTATTTAGGTAAATTACTAAGCTACTCCCTGAATGAAAGTATAGAACAGGAGGGGGATGGGTTACTTGCGGTCAAAAGGGAACAGGTGGTGCTGAATCTACAGGTTATGCTCTTCTATGAATCTGAGATAAAAAAGACAACAACCTATGTATCTTCTGACCACTATGTCATTTTAACAACCAATATATAGGAACAATCAGCTCCAGAAGTGATTGCATGCTGTGATATTGTATTGTGCGGCACTCCATCCCCCCTCAGATGCATAAAGGTTTGTAGTCGCTCCTTCAACAGCCAAGCAGTGCAAGATTAACCCTTGGCAACCCCTCCCTCCTCTTTACCTGGCTCGTCTGTCTTATCCACTCATTGTGTGTGGCTTGCCATCTGCTGCATGGGAAACCGCTAATGCACACCGATCCCCTGGGAGTGACGTTTCACACCTGAGGTCAGTGACTCCCAGGACACCTGCAGCTGGTAAGAGGCAGCCTGTTCACATTGTGCTATTGTCCCTAATGCTCGCCGTCTTCGGTGCAAAGAAACATGTGTAAAAGGATATAATGGGTTCATAACATCAGGTTGAAATACACAGGTTACATCACAGCATCAAGAGGAAAACCTAATGGTCTATGAAACATAATACGCACATGGGCCAGGGTCGGATGGGGAGAGGGCTGTTATGCGCATGTTAGGCCGTTTGTGCATGTACACCGTCTGTGTCTTTTTGATACTACCATTACATCAATTATCAGTAACAAAAATGTTGAAATGTAACAGAGAAGGTGCTTAAAAAACTAGTTTACTACTCTAACGTTTTAGCATTGTTATCCTTCAACATTTTCTAACACATAATGAACAATTGAAACGAAAAGGATCAAAATCAATGCAGTAGAACCAGACATATTGTCATTTGTTTTTTCATACCCTTTTCTTCTTTGCCAAAATCTGGCACCCACATTGCAACGCGAACGCAGACAGCTTGGCTATGTATTTGGATGTGGTATGCTAGTAGTGGCTGAAGTAGCCTTAAGGATGTATCCCTAAATAGATATGAGGAACCACAGAGGACTGGTAAGTTTTTCACACACACATATTTTTCATTTTCTAACTTTCTAACTTTTACTTTCTAGCTAAGCTAACCTACATTGAGTGAAGTGACATTACTTGAGAAAAAATCAAATACATGTGATACAAAAGGCATCATTCAATTTGTTTCTCACATGCACAATTACTGCTAAATATCTGTAAACTGACTTTGATGTTTAAAATCAGTGCAGTTACCTTTTAGACATCTAACATCACCACATTTATATGTACATGTTAGTTTCCTAAAGTTAAAACATCACAAATTCCAGCATTAAATTCTTCCATATCAACTTGCTTCTTCCGTTCATGTGTCATTGAGATGGAGTAACCTTTTCTACGCACGCAGTACGCATCACTGCGCATTTAACTGTGAAAACCCAGTTAAATGTTCACGAAGATGGAACAAATGACTCAAAGGCTGAAGCTCAGAGCATTGTTATTTCTGCTGGCAGCGATGGTGTATCCGGCGGAGCGAGAAAGTGCTTATGAATTTGGGAGAGGTATCGGGTTAGACACACTAACGCCTTTTGTTTGAGACTAACACTTTGCCTGGTGTCAAACTCGAACAGGCAAAATATTAAGATTTCCTTTTCGAGCAGCCGCTTCATTAGAATATTTACTGACTCCAGCATTCACAGATAATCTAATAAGTATTCATTTATTTTAATGAGCTCATAAAAGCTGATGTATAGAGGTAGTAATAGGTTCTGTCATATAAGGCTGATGTTTAGACACTGATGACTTTAGCTTGTTCTCCCTGGTTAAAAAAAGGATGCACTGTGATGAAACTAGAGGCTGAGCTGTAATAAACATCACCTAATTGAAGTTTCCAGCAGCATATGTGATGTTTGCAAATGATCATGATTTCAGAATTATAGATTTATCATTACGGACTGTCATACTTCAATATGACAGATAAATGTCTCATGTTGTCTCACATCTCATTAATAAATATTACTGCAAAATGAGCCACTAAAATGTTGGCTCACCAAATAAGATGACACATTTTATCAAATGTTTTAACAGACATGACACATCGCTAGAAGGACTAGAGAATAGAGAAAGCTTTTAACTGTATTTACATTTAGTTATGTTTTTTAGGCTTGGTACCAGTTTTCTTCAATGTATGTGCACTAAAATGTAGATTAACACATTTATTTTCAACACTCTGTATTAGAAAAACACTATCTTGTCCAATGCTATAAGGCAGGGGTGTCAAATTAAATTTCATTGCGGGCCACATTAACATTATGGTTGCATTGAAAGGGCCGGTTGTAACTTTA